AAGAAGTTTTTCTTTTTATTACTGGCAGCAATTCTCGTTCTCTGCCCATTCGATTTAATACGTCGACATTTGTTGTGTGATCTATCCAGGGAATTTTAAACAGTCTTCTTAATACCCACATTTCAAAGGTCTCCAATCGGTTCATCACACAGGTCTAGGTTTCTACACCATATAGCAGTATAGAGTACATATACTATTTTACAAAGTGATATCGAAGCGTTAAGTTAAGGCTGCTCTTGCTTAGCAAGGTTCTCGTATTAGTAAATGCTGTTCTGGCTTGCTCAATCCTGTTACGTATCTCTATGTCTGGATCTAGATCTTCAGTTATCCAACTACCGAGATATCAGAACTTTTGGATGTTCTTATTGTTTACTCTTATATTTAAATGCATATTTCATGTTCTACTAACCACCATAACCTTCGTCTTGTCTATATTAATCTTCAAGCCCAGTCGTTCTCCTTCAGTGTTTACTCTATCTTTGTTCTTTAGCTTTGCGGCACTATTTTCGTATTTGTCGGTTAATTAATCTGCTGATGTTTGGTTCGGTCTTTGTTTTTAAATGATCTACGGTAGCAGATCGACCGCAGATCAATGTATAAGCTGATTAATGATAATTATTGATGACGGTAAAGAACCATCCTTCTTTTAAACCGTCACAAAGTTATTGTTTTGCAAAATAGCCCATGCAAAACCTCCACTGGTGCCTATTTCAGCCATTCATATCGATCCACCTCTCCATTGATGGTATAAAAGTTGTTCTGGGTAGTTACTAAATATTAGTTGTGCTAAAACAGTGAATTGAGACAGTCTCAATAGATTGAATCCCCGAGGCACATAACTTGACGAATGCTTCACGCCAATTCTATTAAATCCAAACAAATTACTTATTCTCAAATTCCTAAGAATTGACGTTTTGAAGATTTTTTAGAATCCTAGTTTAGAGATAAAAGACATGATTACTGCTTAAATATTTGAAAAAGAAATTGAAATACAATTTTGTATTTTCTGTCCGCATAATTTGGAAATTATTGTTTCACAAACAAAAGTTATTTCTAGACAGGTACAAATAGTATTTGTGTTTGGAAAGACAGTTGAGCACTCAGAACACCTACATAGTGGTCAAGCTTTCCTTCCAATATTCTTCACCTATGTGAAACTTACCATATTTAAACATAAATGCATCATTTATTATATTAACTTAATAAATATCGTTCAAAAGGCTGATCCTAAACCACCTCTTATCATATAAAACATCTGTAACATCACCATCAGCAATAAGTCTTGTCAAAATGATAAAAAGTCAATAATATGATTATGTTTGGAATGTAGTCATAACCTAATCCTTAACGATCTTTCTCCTTTCAAAGAGTTTCAGCAACCTCGCATACAACAAACAGTAGGGTATTCGATACACACGACAGTCGTCAACAAATATGGCTTTAAATTGCAAAGGTATGTTAAAACTGTTACGATATATTTACACACGACCAATTCAAATTATTATTATATATAAATTATGTATATATTGTAATTATTGTGAACTCTTATCCCAGTTGTTATGTCTATTACAAAAATTTAAGTATTTTATCACTATTTTAACTTTTTGGAACAGTTACGCAGTGAATGGTTTTCCACCTCTACTTGCGTAATATCAACATATATTTTCTAAGCTGCGCCGAACACTACTACTTGATTTTATGTCCCGTGAGCATGGGACACATTAGTATCCGAATATGGCCGAAAAAGACCAGCAAACTTCACATTGGTCGGGTGCAAAGGTCAAAATGTTCCGTATTTAAAAGAGTACTTCTACTGATACGGATTGTTTTGAATCATAAAGAGGTAAAAGATGCTTTTGTAATTGTAATTTGTTTACAGACATTTTCCAATTAAGTTTTTCGTTTAAATAGTTTTTCGTTTTACCAAAAATATCAGAATTATAACCTCATATCGACATTTATTGTTTATTGGACACTAATACACAATGACAACCATATTATTTGATAAGCCACGTCATTTGTCACTTGTCATAAAAGTCATATTTGTTGACAGCACTGTCCTGGCGAACGGAGACTGTACAAAAGACGAAAGGTACACAACTATGTAGGCAATACGGAGAGACTAAAAATATTTTGACAGGTAAACCTATAACTATATAAAAAACAAATTTCCCTTATTTCTACATAGAAAATAATCGTTTAAAACACGATAAAATACCTGTCAAAATGTTTGCATCTCTGAAAAATGATCGGGAATTCATACCGGGAGTTAAAAAGTCAAGTACAGGTAGCCAAAACATACAGAGCTCAATGACAACAATTAAGGCCCATCTCTTTCGACAGTTTCATTTTTGAACACATTAGTTTTTAAAAAAATATAATAAATTCTAAATAAATGCAATACATTTGTGTTCGGCGACGTCCAAGAATGTACAGAGCGAGTAAATAATTGATCAGTCTCAAAAATTCATATAAATATGTCAAACAATGTTGATGATGATTATGATCGAAACGTTATATATATAAATAGCGAGATACAAGTCAGCAGATTGTGTTAACTTGCTAATGAATGAAGTAGCAAAATTTCATAGAAAAAATGTATCAAAACGATAAAAAAACGAACAAAAATAAAGTTATAGATGATAAAAAAAAAACTGAATAGTGTATATAGGTCAAACAGGCAGAAACTCCAAAAACATATAAACGATCACAGAGAAGTTTCTTCGACAAAAAATCGAATTCTACCAGACTAATTATTTAATATCGCATAACTGAATAACCAAGTACACTAAATTGTTAGATTTTTTCACTAAATACTGCTTTTACTGATTTATTAATAGTACATATATTAGTAAACATTTTTTGACCAAAATTTTACCCGCTGTACATTGGTTTGTGTATCAAATTCAGTCGAAGAGAAAACTTCGAGAATTTCAAAAATAAAACTGCCTGTAAGAGTTGAATTATGTAAATTACCGCCAAAAATTACCAAATACCGCGTTTTGCTAAGTACCACAAAAATAACTATATGGATTAGCGATTATAAAGCGAATTACTCAAAAATGTTGGTGTTCACATGTAAAAAACCATATAAAAAGTGGAAAAATGTAAAATATATATGTATAAATTAACTAAATGCTAAATATAAATAATAGGGTCTTTATAGGCATAAAATATTAAAATTATGTTGTTGGACGCAATAGAATTGTTCATTCCCTCTTCATCCGAAATGTCTCGAAGTCACTTCAACAATATCTTAATTAGTAGTGTTTGTGTGTTTTGACTCCGAAATAGGAATTAAAAACTCGTCTAGACAAAATCAAATAAGTAAAAAAACTGAGTAAAATGAGAAGTGACATCTGTTTGAATAACCCAAACCACAGCAATTCCCTCTTCATCCAAAATGTGACTGCCGTAGGTCAACAAAATCCCAATCAGTAGTGTTTGTGATATCTTTGGTGTAAACAGACTAACATTTAGAGAACCAAGCGTTGCAGATGACCCCGTAGAAGAAGTCGAAAGCTCATCCTTGCAAAATCAAACAAGTTTGAACCTGAAGATTGAGCCAAATGAGTAGTGTCATCCATTTAATTAGACAAACCACAGCGATAAACTAATCAATAGTGCTTGTGGGGTATTTGGTGTCAACAAATTAACATTTCGCGAACCAAGCTCTGCTGATGGCTCCATAAAATAGTCGAAAGCTCGTCCCCATAAAATTAAAACGAATCTAAAAGACAAAGTTGAGTAAAACAATACATTTCTAGAAATTAATTGCATTGTATAACAAATAAAGAGGAAATACTCAAAATTGTATCAAATCTTTTATATTTTCATATTTTTAAATCACAGTTGATGCTGTAAAATTTTGGCATTCGGTTGTAGAAGTGGAAGCTGTCATGTATTAATACTTTTATTGTTTTCTAATAATTTAAAAAGTATTTAGTGATTCCGAAATGTGATTCATTCATACTAAATGATATTTAGTGATATTTAGAATGCCTGGAAACGTAGTCTTCAAAAATATGCACTTGATTGTTACGTTGTTAACACTGGATATCATATAAAATTGAAGAGAAAAGAAAGGAAAGAAAGCTGTATCAGGTGTTATAGGCCAAAATGTAAATTTGCCACAAGATTGTTCTAGTAGCATATCATGTAACAGAGACTTGAACAATTCCACATTTTTAAAAGAAATTAATTAAATATGTACAGGGTGTCCCAAATTGGTATGTTTTGCAGGGTATACCGAAAACTGGAGGAGATAGAAAAAAAATGTAGTTAAGATGTCATAACATCTTTTTTCGATTATGATTACCTAATCAAATCATCAATCGCTCCCCACATTAGCGAGATACAGGACAGGGTTAGATATCTTCTTTATTATAAACAATTTTAAATAACTTTATTAAAACTTTTGATAGAAATATTATGAAACCGTTCAGTGGCGCACGAGAAAACGCCTTTACAATGAGTGAAAATTTCAACCATCAAAATGAATTTTTTTAAAATATAAAACATTTCATATCAAAAACTACGTTTGAGGCATATTTTAAATAATAAACCGGCAAAGTATTTATTATATTGTCGAAAATGTTGTTCCTTATTAAAATATCGTTAAAATTGACAATCTAATAAATACATTATATGTATTTTACCGAATATAGAGACCAAAACAAGTGGATCACACTTTAGATAAAAACTGCTTTTGCAGCCCACACAAAAATGGTTTTTTACCCGTAAAGAAACGATAAAAGTATATTTTAGTAAAAATTATAAAAAAGTATAAGTGAAAATTGTGTGTACACCAACATTTACGATCTACCCTTTTACCAAAAACGCAAAATGAACCAAAGTCCACCCCAATAACGAACCAAACAAAAAAGAAATAAAAAAAATCTCAAAACCAAGCATGCCACCAGCACGAGCACATCCCTCAACCCGCGTCCACGTCCCCGTTGAGCAAATTTCGATTGTATATGGCCTGTCTGTAACTGTACCTATTGACAGTGGGAGACGGCCGATCGGGCAGAGGCGGCGCTACAACGCCGCCCTCCGTGTTGTCCAGCAAACACACCGACGGTCCGGTCGCTCCCGCCAACGATTCGTCCACTTCGCCGATGGAGTGCTCCACCAAGTTGATCGTCAGCTCCGGGTAATGTGACATTTTGGAACGTAACATGAGGCTATAAGTTTTGTACCGCTTCAGCTAAAACACAAAAAAAAACATTCATTAGGATCATGAAAACAATTTATTTTAAATACATTTGACAATGCTGCTTGTTGTCTTACAACAAACCATAATGATTATGTTCAATTTTTTCACATGCGAGAAATCATGTTATATTTTCGCTGTATTTTAACTATCCTTATATCACAATTTTACAATAATTATCTTAGTCCAACCCTTGATAATCCTTCCTATTCCAGTTCAACCCCCTCCCTTAAGAAATATAGTGTTAAGATAGCAAAGAAGAAAGACACTTCCTCTCTTAGGTTGGCCATCGCTAGGGCCAGACGTACTCTCTCTTGATCTGACTACTGCCAAGGTGAGTCGTGCCTTTTTGGATTCTCGGCTACCGCTAAAGACAGTCATTCTGTCTCTCTCTCTCCGCTTATCAAGAAGAACAGCATCTATCTTGGCTGTTTTTCTATCGTAATTACCTCTTTCCCGCCTTAGTTATGCGAGAAATACCGAAAATACTGTATTAAATCGTGTACAGACAAAGTGTGCCCTATATCGTGATTTTAGTGCGAAACACGTGTTCAGAAACCGGTGCATCGGACAGATTTCGCGGGTGAAGAAGAACCACGAGTGAAGACCGGAAACAACCGTGAGAGTGTGGAGCAGAAATATTGGTAAGACTTTATATAAACTTAATTTGCTATTGTCTGTATACCTTTTACTACTTATCCTAATTTTATTGAACCAGCCCTATATAATACAGTCCACATACACGGAGTAGTGCCAGTAGTAGTGACAGTGCAGTGATTAGTGAACAGTGTAGTAGTGTCTGGGGGCTCGGGAGACTGAGACCTCGGAAGCCCTGAGGAAGGCATCAGAGAGGATGCCGAAAGCTCGGCAAAATGGATATCGACGCGGTTCAACCCGGAAGACCGGTGAGTTTGATATTAATTTTAGTAATAATATATATATATATATATATATATATTATATATATATATATATATATATATATATATATATATATATATATATGTTTCTATACAACAAGAACACGGGGAAGACGAACATCATTTGAAGTCGCAAGACGAAAGCAGACAAGATGTGTAAAAAAAAAGAGCCCTGAAAATGGACAACTAGAAAAAATAGAAGAAAATTTCAAAAACAACAAAATTAGAGGGGCTTACTAATACCTAATAAAGATAAAAAGTGGGTATAAACCTCAAACAAGTCTATGTAAGGGCAAATAATCAGTAACAGAAACCTGGAAGAATTACTTTCAGACCCTACTTGTTACACAAGTAGAAAACATCCTGTCAAGTCTGTTAACGAATTGAAGGAAAAATTGTAAGAAATATGGAATTCGTTTACATTAGAATTCAAAACTGTTGTTCGATGCATTAAAACTTCTAAAATTTAAGCTGTGCTCTTATTTTTGTTCTCTAAAATTTAATTTTCTTATCAATCTAATGTTGGGCCTGCTGATATAGGAAGGGGCTCTTACCTAGTATCGTAGAATTGACGTTTATGTTGTCAATTTTAGACAAATTATTACTAAAATGATCTTTCACTCACTTCATAAGTTAAGTAAGCTTCCTTTTCTTTGTAGTTTTGAATGACTTGCGATTTCGATCCTTTCTCCGGCGGAGATCTCCGGTGATCGTCCAACATAGCTCCCAGTCTCATTACTCTCTCCTCATGATCTGCTAATTGCTCTCTCTGTAACAAATAAACCACATAATTATTACAAACAGTACGATTCTGGTGCTACATTTTATATGTTTATACCAACGTTGTCATATTTCTAATTTAGTCCTCGTAATAAACTTACACAATAACTTACCAATGTTAATTTAGTATGACTACACGGTAGTAACGGTCTCTGGAATTTCTTCTGAGATCCTACTGCTGCTTCTAAAGGCGGCGCCGAAAAACTGGCACACACAAAATTGATCGTGTCTATCCAAGATTGCAATTCCTTTGAATCACTAAAATATACAAAAACCTCGTAACTTATTTTAAATTTCGCATGTTTTTATCAATAATTATAAAATACCCAGCACTTGGAACAAATACCACAACAAAATTATTTTAAATTCGTTAAAAATGGTATGCGGAAATTTGTAAATAGGTTTGTTGACTAAATTCTCTCTGAAATAAGTAAACCATAGTAATGTGACTTTTTGAAAAGAAAATCGGACTGCTACAGCTATATAAAGATGCCGGTGCTAAATACAATAAAAACTACTAGCAAAGTTCACTTCGCATTTAAATCGCCTTTGTAAATGTATCGGTACCAAGCTCATATTTACCTCGTTTGAAACAGATACTCCGCTTGATCGGCAGTCTGCAGCCGAAACACGTACTGTTTCTTGGTGTAGTCCGAAGCCTTGGTCGCCAGCGCGTGATGTATCCTGATCGCGTTGTGAAGATTGTCGCCCATTTGGTTCTTCCTGAATCCATTCTCGTCCTTGTGGAGGTACAACACCAGGTCTCGGAGGGTGCAATAGAACATCTTCCAACTACGCTTGTGAAAGGGTGCTAGAAAAATGCAGCAAAGGCCTTCGAAACAGCTATTTTGTATTGCAACATGCTTTGCAGGTTTTATTTTAATATTTGGGTTTAAAGTGAGGCAAAAAAATGAAGAAGTGTTCTGAGAACGACACGATTCATTTATTTTTTAAAAGAATATTTACGAGTGAAATTCAAACTTACACAAGAGGTGTATTATTACAATTTACAAAGATCAAGATTTTTGGAAATTTAAAGTTTATAACATTTCTTCTACTTCCAACGTACTAGTTGAAAGTATTAGCTCCATCGCTTCATTATTTCATTTTAGTATGTTAGTATTTTATCTCCTTTATCTTTTATGTTATTTGTTTGTTGTTTTGTCGGCTTTTCTTACTGATTTTAAGACCCCATAAAATAATGTGAAATTTTTTTTACTGTTTTTTCTAATTTTTCCTTCAATCTCCTTCCATTTAATTTTCTGTGAGGTTATAACCAATGTTTTTACCAATTTTATTCCCTTTTGCACTTCTGTCAACTGTTTTATTGTTTAAATATCTTTTCCATTCATTTTGTGCTTTGATAAAGTCCTCCAATTCATTGTGTAGATTCCATCTAATAACTGTTCTATTATCTGTTACTTTTTGTTCCATGATCCAATCTACAAAGATTATGAAAGAAAGGACGCATTCTTGCTTGTTGCGTTTTTCTATCCCCTTTTTGTATGTCGAAGTAATATATGCTGTTGACCATATTTTGTATACAATATACAAAAACCACTTGCTATGTGTCCAGGAATGAGCATTGTTTGATTGGGAAATATTCTACAAAGCCATCTTTTGGTGATACTAGAAACTCAATATGTAGCACTGTTGTTGACACGTATTTTTTGAATTTTTGGATACTTTTTCTCACTACAGTGCAGATATATTAACTCTAAGCTTTGTGAGGGCCTTAATACTAGAGTAATCATCAGTTTCTCCAAGTAAGATGTTCGACAATAGAAAATAATATTTATTTTTTAAGTAGCTGCTCTAAGTGCTCTAAAAAGACTTAATTTGAACCAAATCTTCAAGTTGTTCAATCAGGAAGTACGTTTCCTTCCTCGCATTCTTCGCTCATCTCCTTCATCGGGTCCTATTCTACCTTGAATTATTTTTGAAGCAAGAAATTCGTGATAGAATAAGTATATTAAAGTAATGTTTTACTTTTTCGAATATTTTTTAGGAGTAGTAACTCACAAGGTATCAAAAAAAATTAATTGTTGCATTAAATGCATTAATTATTGTCGACAATGTTAGTAGTAAAGTAACTATCCACCTCCTGTGACAGGCGTCACTTAAATATAAGATTGACTGCCACCTTTCGCAATATTTCGAAACTAAAAATAATTATATATGATAGCATTGCTGTCATTCATTAAATTTAACGAATACAGTCGTTTTCAGAAAAAAAAAACAGAAATAGGGACAATAACGTAGTCATAATTAACTGTATTAAAAAAAATTAAATTACCATGAATAAAAATAAGAATTTCTTAAAAATATGCACCACTTTCTGTTTTTAAAATTGTTTTTACTATTTTTTCTTATTTTTTAATAAACTCATATGATAAAATGTATACATTTATTTGTTTATCGTTTATATACAAATAAGAAAAAATAATACAGTTATTATAGTCAAAAAGCCCTGTTCAAATGTAATAGTTACCCAAAAGCTTCAAAATATGTTGCCATTAATTGATTTTCTACAAGAGTTTGTATAAAATTTTTATAGATTATAATCATGTGATAACGTTTTAGATAATTTTTCTAATACAAGTATTCGTAAACGGTAAAAATATATATTTTTTTGCATTACTAATATCAACGGTATTTTGATTTTTAAAAGCACTAACTTTAATTCTGAGAACTTTATTATTTAACACAACATCTGAGGTTGTTCCATACCACTGTCGTAAGTTATAATACTTTTTTCTAGACTATTAGTTGCACTATTTGACATGTCTGAGATGCTCAAGCTTCCTTTTTTTAATAGTGAATAAGTCTTTATTCTTTTCCACTCAGCGAAGTACTTCCACGAACGTCGGTACGCTCATATCTAAAATCTTCTTCTTCTTCAAGTGCTCTCCGCTACGGAGTTTGGCAATCATCAATGCTATTCGTATCTTTGAAGCTGTTGCTCTAAATAATTGGTTAGATGTGCACTGGAACCAGTCTCTTAAATTGCACACCCAAGATATATATCGTCTCCCCACGCTTCGTTTGCCCTGAATCTTTCCTTGGATAATTAACTGAAGCAATCGGTACTTTTTCCCTCTCATCACATGACCAAGATATTCCAACTTTCTTCTATTGATGGTGATCAACAGTTCCCGTTCTTTGTTCATTCTTCGAAGAACTACACTGTTTGCTATTTTGTTTGTCCAAGGTACTTTCAAAATTCTTCTATATATCCACATTTCGAAGGCCTCTAGTTTATCGGTATTGATTTTGGTCAAAGTCCAAATTTCAACTCCGTACAGCAGTATCGAAAAGATTTAGCATCTAACCAACCTCATTTTCAGGTTTAAGTTAATGTCATGACTTCCCAGAATGTCCTTCATATTAACAAAAGCAGCTTGAGCCTTTCCAATTCCAATCTTTGTTTTTTTTTAAATAATCATGAATTTCGTCTTCTTGACATTCATTGTTAACCCTTTCTCTTCACCAGCTGTGATTACCTTGTTTAAAATGGTTTGCAGGTCTTCTACTGTCTCCGCCATTAAAACCGTATCATCTGCGTATCTAATATTATTAATTGGTTGGCCGTTAACTTTTATCCCAATCTCTTCTTCCTCCAAGGCTTTCTTCATAATTTCATATATAAATAGCATTGGTGACAGCACACATCCTTATCTAAAATGCACCCAGCTTTTTCATTAATGTCCACGCTTCTATCCCGTACCACAAAACAGGGCATATATGGCATTTTGTTACTCGCATTTTTGAGTGGAGGAGAACTGTAGTTTTTTTATAGTGTTAGCAAGCACTACTGTGTCATCGACGTATCTAATACCGTTACTTTTATGTCTTGATGCCTTCGCTAGAGGTTAGAAATATTAAAAGGTACAGGGAACAGCAAAATACATCCCTACTGTACGCTCTTCTTAATTTCAATACTCTCACTGAATTGTCAAAGTTTACAATTGACTGGTTTCAGTAAATATTTGCTTTTTATACTTATCAAATTGTTGTTTTAATTATTTACAAAGCATGTGTAGATATGCTTGCTCACACATCTGCACCGTTGCAGTCTCTGCCACGCGACTAGGCTCTCCTTGGTCTATCCGAGTTACTTCGGAGTTTCGAAGTCTCGTCAGTTACCTCAATCACAAGTAAACCTTAAATTCGTCAGTGAATTTTTCACTGGAAACCACAACTGCTTTGTATTATATTTCCTATAAATCATGCTATAGTTGTATCTCTCAAAATGTGACTTGAGGTCGAAACTTTCACAAAAGTGGCATCTCTGAAGGTTGCGATTGGATCTCACTAACTTTGGATAACATGTATAGACATCAAAAGATATGATTATCAATAATGAAAACGTTTATAAGTTTCCATTTGGCCAGTTTAATGAGAATATGCATCAAAAGTAGAAAGACAAAATTTTGGATTTTCTATTTTAATGAAAAAGTTTACCACACTTTAAATAATCTTTAAATTGTTAAAAGCAGATATAAGTACAAATAAATTTGTCCATAGACAACTAAACGAAAGACTTTGATATTTAAACAGGGTTAAGATATCGTTGGCTCATGGAACGATGGTTTCTTATTCGAATATTCGCACTATTTGATTGGTTAGGGACTGAGACCATGAATTTCTTTGAGAAAAATGGGATTTCTTTGAAATAAATGGGTATTAAAAAAAGGTTGTGAGAAGAAGTTTACTATATGTTAGAAAAAGAATATTTTTTAATAAATTAGGTAAGTACAGTTTTGGCATTGTATGTAGTGCTGTTTTGACAGATCGAGTTCTTATTTCATATCGTATGGCTTCTATATTTTTTTCCTTAATTGATAACGGATTTTTTGACTGTTTAATACTCAAAAGACTACGTTTTTGATGTATATCCTTTAAAGTAGTATACAATGTTTTAATTGGGCCATCTACTTCGTTTTTGAATTAAAGAGTAACCGACTGACGATATTTTCTTTCTGATTTTGCCAATTTTTACCCTTTTTAATTAATGAAACTTTATCTACCTTGATCACCAGAAAAATATTTTAACGTTATCACACGATATAGTATGAACATAAACAGATGATCGAATGATAGAATATTCCATATACATATGTCCAAAATAAAATAAAAAAACACAGCCAATATTCCAAGAACCAAAGCAAGATATACATCAATACAATTTTTTTAACATACCCTTCTTATCCATAATTTTTTGTTTAAAAAACTACAGAATATTTAAATAAAATAGCACTATAGTAGCACTATAATGCAGATTTACAAAGCACTGGTACCTGTATAAACAAAATTAGTAATTCCAATAAAAATAAACGAGTGTTTTGGTTACAATTTTGGGAAAAAAAACCTAAAAAAATTTATTTCGCGTCGCTAAACTTGTTTAGCTCGACGATGTGTAAACCCAAAGTTGTAAATTTTGATAGACAGATACATTAAAAGTAGGCTGTCATTCATAAATAGTTTATAAGATATTTGACAGCTATCGATAAATAATTTGACATTCATAAATAGTAGATATGACATATGAGAGCTGTCAAACCAAGATAAACAAATATGGCGCCAAAGTAGGAGGCTGGCCATTTAGTTTGGAACTATTCGGCCTTACGTGCCTAAGACGAGCATTTGAAGAAGCTATAAAGGCAAATCACTTATTTTTATGAATACATCTATCTCATTTTAGATGGTAATGGTCAAAATATCCTCAGCCTGAGTCAGTTCCGGCCTTATCCAACTACTAACAGTGGGATTAAGTTGTGGAAGTATCAAACCTATTAATAGCTAAAACCTTGGTGTCAAAACAGTTCAGTAAGTTCGTTTCACAGTATGTTGAATGAGGTTTAACTCATTGAAAGTTATTAAAGGCTACTGATACGCCATGAAGCATAAGGGAAGCATTTAGTGGAAGCGTAGCAAATTTTAACACTGTGTTCTAGCAGATTTCGATGGGCTAGTCATGTAGGGAAGACAGAAGACGACCAATTGCCAAGAATATCAATATGATGCAAATGTAGGACAAAAGACTAAACGGATGAGACCGAAAGGAAAGGAAAAAAGCACAATAAACCTGTTGAGTACATCACACGCGCGCGCGTTTTTGTGTGTGTGTGTGTTTGTTGTTTGTTTGTGAGTGTTTGTGCGTGTGCGCACGCGCAGGTGTGTACACAAAAAGGCCTTAATCACAAGGTTTTGTGATTGTAAAAGTGTTTATTTAGTGGATTCTGGTAACAATTATTACTGCTTCCATTTGGACTGCATTTATTGGTCCTAAAGGTGGGAAATATGTTTCACTGTCTATCAAAATTTCATTATTAAGGTGTATAGCATACTCCAAAATTAATTTATTTAAAAACATGTACGAAAAAAGCGTAAACTGATACAATTTGTCATAAAATCAATAAAATTAGTTTTAAAATGATAATGTTGGAGTCTGCTCTTTTGGTGTTAGTAGATAGCTGGAGGTTTTATATGAAAAACTATATTTCACACAATTTATTTCATTTACTTGTGGTGTATTTGCAACTATAACCAGTTTCTGTTACTATGTTAAATATTTTAAAATATTGGTCACATAACTAAATTCGTAAATAAATAAATAGCTATGATAAATCTAAAAATATTGGTTTATCAAAGAAAATAGAATAGTAAAGATAGATGATAAAAGAAAAGATAGAAGAAGAGGAAGATAAAAGATAGGAAATGAAGAGAGAAGACAAAAAATAACTTAAAATTGATAAAATTAAGGGCTATACGGAGCGCGTTCAATAACCTTCCATTCAAATGTGGTCTTCTTTTCCCTACGATTCTTCCATTCAAATTTGGTATTCTTTTCGGATATTGGCATTCAGCATGACTTATTAACTTTGCCTGAAACTATTCGGTTGTTAAATTTAGTAAATGGACTGATTTTTAGAGCAAGAATCCGCCAATCCGCCAATACTGACTAACTTATGTAGTTGGAAATTTCGGACGTCGAACTTTTCATGCCCTCTCTTCTGGTGGGGGTTATTTATACCGCTTGTTGAATCTCAGTTGGCGCATACTGAGCCTCTATTTATATTCTCGGTATGCATTTGGATTTCAGACGCCTCACGAATTTTTCTGGAGTGGAATCAGAGATTTTTGGAAATAAGACTGAATTTTGGGTTCCTTGGCAGTATTCTGTCACCACAGAATATTACAAACGACGCAATCTAATGCATTTTTAATTATCTTATGAGTTTTGACGAGTAAATTGTATATTATAATTGTATATCTAGTTACTATACTATACTATATATACTTATACTATTGTATAGTAACTAGCCAAATTATTAGGCCAAGCATTAAAAATTTGCATTTTTAAATTAATAATTTTTATCAAGAGGAATGTTATTATTAGCATTGGCAACACCGCCCTATCCGCCATTTCTAGACAGCATTGCGTCCTGTCAAATAGTGTGCATTTTATAACTTCAAATACTGTCTGTGAACATTTGAATTCTAAACGGGTTTGACCTGAAATTATATTGCAGAGGTGAGTGATTTATCCTTTTTTTATTATTTTTTAGATTATTAACATATACAGTGAAGTTATTGGTATAATTAAGGGAATTATACATTTTTAGATGGGAAAAACGCTGATATGTCATCCAAACGAGTAGGCCAGGGATTTGGACTCCTAAAAGCTGGACGAAAGTCTCAAAATTAAATAGCGGCAATGGTAGAAGTATCAATGCGTGAAAACCATACTCAAAAACCACAAACATTAAATGTATGGTCAGTTGTAGTAGGTACTTATTTAATTGGGCCATTTTTTATCGAAAGAAATTTAACGTCAGATAGTTGGTGTGAATGTTCGGCGTTATTTAGATGAGATATTTCCCGGACGATAAATTGGTAGACAAGGTAGAATTGAATGGCCTCCACGTTCACCCGATCTCAATCCTAAAGATTATTTTTATTGGAGATACTTAAAAAATTCAGTTTACAAAACGTAACCAGCAAGTCTTGCATAGCTAAGGCAACGAATCATCAATGAATCTCGAATAATTTCTAGACAATCATGGAGAAATGTGGTAGACGCCTTCTACCATCGATTAGGGTGCTGTCAACTCACAAATTGAGCACATTTTAAACACTTAATAACGTAACTACTATGTTAAAAAATGTTCTAACCTATCAATTGTTACGTTTTAACGTATTTGAAAATAGTTAGTATTAAAAAATTTATTGAAACAATTTAGACGTTGCCAGACTTCGGTTTTATGTATTTATGACCTTCCAGATTACATAAAATCATAAGTGTTACATATGGTTGAACTCGTATTGAATAGGAGATTCCAATAATGACTGAATATACAGGGTGATGTATTTGAAAAACCAAAGTTACTAATAATATAAGAAAAACGACAAATCTGGCAACATTGTAAATATCAAATATGGAATCTCCGTATCCCAAAATAGGTGTACCTCAAATTTTGTACAATTGTGATTAGCATTTTACGAGATAATTAGCCGTTTCCAGACTTTTGGGCCACTCTATAGATTATCGTATTACAAAAATTCATTATAGATCAATTAGTATGTCGTTTCTCTTTGTGGATTTCAAACAACTAAATTTAGTTAACAAAATCAATCAAAATTCAACTAATTAATTATAAAATACGCTGTTGCAAATACACCTACTGTATTTAAATGAAACAAATTTAATCAGTGTTAAGTCAATAAAGCGAATAGCAATGAAACTCACTTCTTTTGGCATTAGCTTCGTAGCAGCACTTCCTCATAACGTAACCCTTCTTGTATTCCACGGCATTGGCTGCGATGGGTACCTCCAGGAACGGATTGCCGCTGAGATTCATGCTTTCCGTGTTCCTCGGTTGTACCTGTACGGTGTTTCTGTCTTCGCTTTCTTCGTCCCTGTAATAAAGATTATTGCAATTGGAAATTCAAGGAGAGAGATGACACCAAATAACAAATCGAAAGCTTGGAAAGGAACCGAATATTTTTGATTCTATTGTAGATTAATCGTATTATTTCATACATTACCAAGAAAAATACTTACAGCGCCCATTCCAGAGGATAATTCTTAATCGCATGATACAGCTGTTTGAGGACATCCCTCGGAAAGTTCTCGCATTCGTTTAGTCCTGCCAAGTTTTCGATAAATTCGTTACAAGTCATTTTTCTTCCTACGTTTTGGCCATGTATATCTGTGTTGAGCAACATAATGGCACAGGTTAAAGTGTGAACGGCATCTAAAAAGCAAATTACCGATAAAAATTCTGATTTGTGTTTAGTTAGTAAATTGATGCTGGGGGAAACAAGCTAAGTAATCCTGTTTCTTTTATTTTTGATTCTTGAAAACTGTTAAGTTGGCCTCTGTACACTACTCTCTAGTGTAAATAAAGTTGCATACGGATGGCCAGCTCCTGCCAGCTTCCGGTAGAGATAACGTGGTCAATAAAGATGTTTAAAAATTAACTGCGGTTTTAATCATATATTTATATAATCCGTCAATTAAATGCCTATCATAACATGGCGCAGTCAGTAGGAACTTTTTGTAAAAGGTTACTTAATATAACCATTTACTCTTCATGTTCGATAAAAGTTCTTCAGCATACAATTATATACAGTGGAAAATGTGATAATTTACCTTGAGAATTGAAAGATCCGGGATTGCAGTCTAAATATCTCTTGGAAAAATGAACTAGTACTCGTTCTCTCTCTTGAGTCTCGCCGGTGAGAGAGAATTGCTTCAGGAACTTTCTTAACGCTATATCTAAGGTATCTCTTTCAAAGTCGAAGTATTTCAGGTATTCTTCTGCCACAGCTCGACTAAAATCATTACTAGAAAAGAAAGAAAAGTAATTATTACATACAATGGTTAAAAGCTGTGATGATTTTCATATGGAACTCTACAAAGTGTACATTCAGTATGCTAAACAACTTCCAAAAGCTTAATAATCTTTGCGAATCTTTGACTTTTAGTAGGGGTTGTTTTCGACAACCTTATACTTACTTTTTACTAAGATGTCTGGAAACATCGGACTTTTTAAACCCGTCCAGACTGTACAACCTCTTCGCGAGCCTGATGGCAGAGGGCATGTCAACTGCCTTCGGCGAGTAGTGGAAACTATGAAGACTCTCAACGTCGCTTTCGTCCTCAGAAGACAACGGCGAAGATTTGTTCGTGATCTCCCGGAAGCCGTCTTCTTCGTGCTCGAATTCTTGCACCATATCGTTAGACATCTACAAAATAACGAAATAATTACCAAAGGAGTAACAATATTAAATTTTACCAAAAGATATTCGCTATACATAAAGATACGGAATTGGATTCATCTTTGGAAGCAAAATAAGACATATTATTTTACAAATCCGGTAAAATAGTAAAACCGTCGTCGTCTTTTTCATTGTATCTGCTGTAATTGACTGTATATTGTATCTTGTATATTGGTCTATCTTCGAGCCACATAAAAACCAAGACTGTAGCATGTTGAAAATTCCTTAACTATCAAAATATTCAAGTAATAAGAATTTTCTAGTACGTCCTGGGCCAAGCATAAAATATTTATCCAATTCTCTGTTCACAAAAACTTGTTTGAGACACATTCAAATAAAATAATTCATATATTACGTCTTAGTTCTACAATTTTAAAACCAAGCTGGGAAGGATACAAGGTCAAATACCGTGTTTGACGAGAATTTTGGGTTGCCACATTTACAAGGGACGGGAGATGCCGGTGCGATACAGATCGATCGAAGGTCGAAACTAAGGTTTGAAAGGGTAACGATTGAGAACAGACGTCGGTATGTAGTTTTGTTGAAAATTTGTTGAAAATAGTGAATTATACTCTATGTAATGTGTCAGTTTTAAAAAAGTAATCACTGTTCCCGTGTTTCTAAGTATCTAAGAGATTTGTGTCGTTTACAACAATTTTGAAAGATAATCACATGTTGCCATGGTGTTCAATTGTACCTGTTTTTTAGGTAATTTTTTAAGAAGCCGAGTTTCCAAAGTTTGTGTTCCAATGCCCTTTTAACCTCAAATTTGTATTTGTCCTAAGAAGCTGTCTTATAGTATCTTTCACAGTATGAAAATGAATTTGTTCGAGTGGCAGAGAGTTTAAATCTAGTTCCTAACCCCAGAAAATTTCAAGTAATTTAGTGCAATCCAGGTAACTTTTTTTGTTTGAACTTTCAAAGTAAAGATAGACTTTTTTTCTAATAATAGTAATAATTGCTTTCATAACAATTTAAATTGTAATAATTAAAATTATTTGCGTATTTGGTGGAGGCACTAATGTGAAAGCCATTAAAAGCGATAAGGTTCATTCTGCTCATTTTTGGTCCGTTTTATGATACGGGTACCAGTAAACATCGGATCGTGTCGTATGAGGGGCCGTTGGAAAGAAAGTAGGACAAGAAGTAAAAAATGAAGGGTGTACGGCCTTTAGACTTTACTAAACATACATCAAGAGGAAGAACATGGAGAAAATAAATATTTTAGGCTGGACCTACCGGTAGGGGACCCCAAAATAGATGAAACATTGCAAGCAATTAACAAATTGAAGAACGGACAAGCTAAAGGCTTTTACAATATACTGGCTGAATTCATTAAGTATGGAGGAGAAACTCTACATAGACAAATACACAAACTAATAATATTTATATGGAAAGAAGAGAAAATACCAACTATTAAGTAGGCTGACACCGTTTGTAGAAAATTTCATGGGGGAATACCAAGCCGGCTTTAGAAAACATAGATTGACCATAGATCAGATCTTTATCTAAGACAGCTGCTTGAAAAAGGATGGGAATTCAATAGAACTATTCATAATCTCTTCATAGATTTCCGGCAAGCGTACGAGAGCATTAAAAGGGATCATATGTGGAATACAATGACAGAACTTTTCAAAAAAACTTATCCAGCTTGTTAAGTTATGTGTGAATAGCTGTAGATCCAGAGTATGGATAGGTAACAAACTCTCAGAATCTTTCAAAATAACCAGTGGTCTGAAACAAGGAGATGCACTGTCACCTCTCCTTTTTGGGCCAAATTACTACTAGCATACGCAGATGACATTGACATTGTGGGAAACACAGTCACCAATGTGAAGGAGAATTTTAATAAATTGGAGGAGGAGGCAAATAAAACTGGTTTAAGGGCAAACGAAGAGAAAACTAAATACATGTGCATCAACAGACAAAAGGGACGAGATAGAATAGGGCAAAATGTTACAATAGACCTATATAACTTTGAAAGAGTGGAGAGTTTTAAATATCTCGAAGTAACAATCACTGCAGATAACAATACAGCCTTCATAATACTAAATCTAAAAGCCTAACATGAACATCAAAGATTAGAATATATAAAACGATTATTACACCGGTGCTCATGTATGGGTGTGAGACGTCGACTTTGACCAAAGAAACTGAAAGAAACCTTAGATGTTTTGGGAGGCAAATCCTCAGAAGAATCTTTGGGACTTATCACGACATTAATAGCAATTGAGAACAAATGCTGAGGTCAAGCAGATGTATACAGCGAGCGACATAGTCCAAGAGATTAATTCCCAACGTCTAATATGAGCTGGCCATGGCCATAGACTCCCTAATAACCGCCTTGCCAAGTTAATAAGGGAGGAAGCCCCCTTAGGACGTCCACGAATGCGATGAAGAGACAATATATGGTCAGATCAAAAAACAATGGGGCTACCCACTGATCCAACTATTATGGACGACCATTCAAGATGGAAGCAAGTTGTGCAGTCAGCCAAGACGCACCCTTGGTTGTAGTGATACGAGAAGAAGAAGACGAAGAAGTTAGCAACCATACTATAATTATAGCAGACATGCTATAATTACTCTCCTTTTTAATGTACTATCATGTCTTTGCAATAATCCATAAATATACTACAATTTTCATAAACAATATTCTTAGACCGAAAAATTAACAACTTTTTCGTAAATAATTTCAAAATGTTTTCCATTTGGTACCGAAATTATGACTGTTAATATAGTAGAGCATATTTCAACACAGCTTAATTCAATTGGTTCATGTAAATATTTGCAAACTACTGAACATCGACAATTAATAATCATTATCCATTATGTAATGCGATAAAATTAGATTTGAGGATTATTTTTTTCTCATCTACTATAATTTTTCCAAATTTACTATAATTTTATGGCCCTGGCACAATAATCCCGTCTTCAGAGTTGCTAACACTACTTAGATCCTCAGGACTTAAAAGGCTTAATGTATAAGGGCGTGTGAGGCGTCACGTGATAGAATTTGGTGAATAGAATATGATTACATAGAAAAATTAAACGTGTTGGTATGCCAACGATACCTTAGGTACGTGCCTTCGCTTCTGTTGGTCCAATTTCACATAGAAATAATATTTCTGACATTGATATATAACGCGATATTTTATCTGACATTTGAAGTAAAAGGTGAGGTGTGATATTTTATGTGAAACGCGACATTCATGGAACACGCCTTTTATATGTAATGTGATAACTTATGTGACATTTGGCACATGTCAAATGTCATAAAAAATATCGCCTTTCGCATAAATGTCACGTTCTGTATCAAATGTCACATTCCACTCTTACCTGATATCCATCATTATCTCCTCGCAACGTAGACATACTATCACTCTGTCTGTTTCTATCTTTGTCGGGTCCTTTCACTTGTATCACAATGCGATGATCACTACTATCCGAATTCCCACCCGTCGAACTACTATTGTGCACTCTGACGTGCCTCTGACGAGGTTCGGACACTAACAAAGTACTGTCACTATCACTATGGTCACTGATTTCCATGACGCAATCACGCAAACCGACAATGTCGTCATCATGGTAATCGGGACTCGAAATGTTCGAAACTGCTTCGGAGACACTGTAGTCGCCGCCGCCCGGCAGCTGTCCCATGGGTCCGTTTGAGAGACCATAAGGCGTTCGTTTTGATCCTGTTGACAAAAAGCAGACCATGAATAAGGAATGTATACACATATGTTTGAGTTACACGAAAATTAAATAATTCATAAATGTTGCGTAATAATCTTCACAAAATTATTTAACATAGATGGCGCTACTATGCATAAAATTACATATTCTTGTTACTAACTGACGGTTGAAGATAATAAAGTGAGTTAGTTAGTGTTTTATTATAATTTTATAAAGAACGAGAACTTACCCGAATGGCTGGACATCACAGAGGAAGACACTGAAGTGGGTGAAGCAGGCGAACCGGAAGAATGAAGAGGGCTGGAGGAAGTCGGCGAAACGTTGCTGTGAGACGAACTGCTTCCGTTCGAGAGCGCGTGCGCGAACTTCTGTTGGTCGGAAATGGGAGCGTTGTACGTCCACACGATTCGGTCGCTGTCGCTGTTGCAATTCGCTGTAGCCGAGTCCGGTCGGGTGTCAAGCAACGTGTTGAGGGAACTCGTGACGTCCTCGTCGGCTTCCGAGTTGGCAACACTGACGTTGTAAAGGTCATTTTGACCTTGTAATTGGTCCTAGAAATGATAAAAGATGCTATTTAATGGTTATAAACGAAACGATCCACTTTCAATAACTTCCAAATTTTAACATATTGAAATCCGGCACAAAGGACCATATTTCCTTAGACATGGTGGTACAACATGAAGAGAATATCGTAATTATTAGCTACTTCGCAATAATTGACAACAGAAGACACGAAATGTTCAACCTGGCAACTCAACTCTTCTGCTGCCGGTGGAAGGTGTTATTATTACCTCGTTGCTATAGAGTTCGCGTGATCACCAACAACAATCATTAAGATAGATACCAAGCCATACTATATCATTAAAGAGCTATTTGATAGAACTGATATTAGCACTAGGAGGACTGTAAGATTAAACTGAGCATATGAAGTGCATTAAGGCATTCCGTGCGACTGTTCTCGATCTGAGCACATAAAATTAAATCATTTTATAAAACCATTACATGGGAAATAAGTCGATTGGTATTGTCTGTCAGTAACTATCACCGAGATACACTGCTCAGATTCGGAATTGGTTAGCGGATTGCAAACCACAATCAAAAGTTATTGAATTGTCAAACGTACTACTCTACGCAGAGCAACAGATAAAGAAATATCCTAACCATTGGAGTAGAAAATCATTTGAGTCCGCATTTAACCTCGGAAAGAGTAACGATACTCATTGTAATCTTGATTGTCACTATGTAAAAAATAGTAAGATATTTGCGCAGTTCCAAGTGAGCTAAGGAACCTCTGAATCATAAGCTTCTTAGTGAATCATGTTGACACAGGTTATAAACTGGGATTGACCACGAATTAGGGCATAGTCTTTTAATATCTATACCTTGGGTAAAACGTTACTCATCTTCGCATGAACTTTCGTTAAAGTGAACTTATTTTGAGCTACTAATAAACCATTTTCCCAATCTATTTGTGCTTTATCAAATTATAGGATGTTGACAATTAAATAATTTAGTACATTTCATAAAATCTTTTTAAAATGTACAATTTATACTACGTCAATGTAGAAATATAGTTATATTGAGCTTAACATAGAAGTAACTGGAGTTATAGACATACGCAGATAAAAAATACAACGAAAAATATATATCACAAGGTAATCAATGGATGCATACCACTTTATTAATAATATAATCATAATATAGGTTCATGAACCAATATTATAATTTAGTTTAATTACCTTGGCTTTATTCGGAGTCGCCCACAACGACTGTATACAATTGAACACCGATACAAAAACTACTTTCTCTCAAAATGTTTAATCAATTTTAATCGAGACATACGTTTATTAATAATTAAAAGCGAAGAAGTGGGCTGCATAGATAATTATACTTGAAAAGGATAAGCTGCTTGTTGAATTATTAATAAAGCATCGTAAAAGCTAATAAAATGTTATTTTATAGATATATTTAATAAAATATGATATTAATAATGATTTTTATAGTTTTTGTTAATTATAATACAAAAAGAGGAGGAAAAAACTTAATAAAGACAACAGATTAAGAAATATAACAGCAGTCAGTACAGACAAACAGTAAATGTTTATTATAAGTGGAAGAAAATTCAAAATGCTCTGGTTTTGCTGGAAAAGAAATCCATTTAGAGGAACAAGAAAATGTTAAGAAAGTGTGAAAAAATTCTAAATTTTATTAAAGAAGGAAGAGAGCATAACAAAAAAGGTCTAAATAAATGGAAAATCACTTAGGAATATGTCAGAAAGAAAGCCGTCTTCCTCTAAGTAGGAGATGCGTTTTGGTTTGTGTTTGGAAAACAATGTGTAGTTCCACATCTACAATAATTTACACTAAGAAATAGTGTCAACGTTAAGGTAATATTAAAAATAACATCTTTAATTATGATGATTGTAAAGAATGTTTTTCCATTACAGCAAGTTCTGATGAAGCCCAAAATTATGTGGCGAAAGCTTGACTTTTAATAAAAGACACTCACTTTGAAGCACCCGTTTTTTATTGCTTCCTTAGTATTGGGTCGTTCCCGGTTATCTTCAACTGTCTGTTGTTTACCAGTAGCCCGTTACTGTCCTTGATATTTTATATATATATATATATATATATATATATATATATATATATATATACATTGGGATTTACATAATTTGTACAAAAAACAATTTTTTAGAGTGGAGATTGATGGTTGGTTTTGCTTCTAGACCCCTTAAATATTAGTTAATTAATAATTGGATTTTCATCACAATCACAACCAATAATTATTGTGGCTTAATCCTATAAAAACATAATATACAAAAATGTAACAAACGACTTAAATCCTGACCTATTTAATACAGAGAATACCTTGATTCAAGTAGCTGCATCAATAACATATCCATATCGTATCTAAACATTCTTACCTCTGATCGACTTGTCCTCACAAAGTTATAGGGATCAGCAGGAGAGGGCTGGTGCTGATCCCTCTTGTTGGCACTGATTGGGGAAGTTGATGCGGAATTCGGACCAGATTTCCCAGCGTTGCTGCCTCGATGACCCAGATCGGACTCGTTGGGGCTGTTCGGCACTGAATTGTGCTGTTGATGCCTCAGATGGTGGGCGTGGCTGTTGTGGTACCTCAGGTTGTCCATCTAAAAAAGTATCAGATACTTTATCTTATGCTGTGTACGGTCACATATGCTATATATCAATAACTGTAAAATTACATGGAATCTACAAATAAAATCTGCATCGGACGAGGTGTAAGACAAGGCATATTATCGTTTTATAACTACCTTGTGCCTTCACAAAGCTCCTCTGGAATACCAAAGGAATAATTATTGGTAGAGGAAAGTTAAATCAACTTCGGTTCGCAGACATCTCGAAAATTCAGGGAGAAAAGATGCATAATTCCATTTGTTGTATTATTAAATTACTTCTACTGAGTAAATAAATAAATAGTATATTTTCATCTGTAAATTTTTCATTATAGATTAAAAAAATACAAAATCCAATTTGTGCGCCATGTCAAAGAAGTAAAGCTGAGTTAAATCGATATTTTTACTGATTCAATTCAGTGAAACGGTTCCCTATCCGTTACTGATTTAAGTCAATGACAGTTGTGTATCTTTCAAATCATTAAGATTGTAGAATCTTTAGTGTGTTAGTGTATTTCCACTATTTTTGTACCCCAACTATTAATCTTATCTTCTATTTTAACACTTACCTTCTTTTGTTGCTTAGGTACGATAGCGGTGGTCTGTGGCATCCGCGAAATGTTCAAGATGTGCTCTCCCGTCATCATATACGCCTCGAATTTCGGTTGACCGTGGGTTTTCGATTTGTTCGTGGTCTCGTTGCCGTGCGCTGCCAATGGTTGCCATTGCAATCTTTCGTGTTGTTCGTTTTCCAAAGGTCGCAGCACTTCGTCGTGATGGTGCAGTAGTGGTTCCCGTTCGGAGCAGCTACCGTTTGTTGCTGAGCCGTGTCGCACCACAGCATTGTGAGTCTTCATTTACATAAAGATTAGATATATTAGTAAGAGAAACAAATCAATTAAACAATTAAGAATACAACTAATTAAGAAGAGGAATATAAATAAAACCAGAGTATCAAATAATTTTGTTCGCCTGTTGTCTTCTTACCATGATTCGTAAAAATATATTACAACTAAAGCATTTACAAGTGGTTTTTCGATAATATATAAGAACTTGTACACATTTAAATTAAAATAATATCGTTTTCTTACTAATGATTATATGTAAAGCCTTGTCTGAGCATCTACACAAACATTATATAAAACTTAAGAGGTTATTCTTTCTCAAACTGTGCCAATAATGTTAAATACTTTGAACAGAGAAGATGTTCAGGAGGTATATCGGTTTAACAGGTTATGTGTTACATGCTGTGTCAACTTTTTTGTCCAATGTACATTCATACTGTCATCATCATCATCATCATCCAGCCTTCATTTATCACGTCCATTGCTTGACATAGGCCTCCCTTAAACTCCTCAATTCTTTACAAATTTGTGGTCTTTTGTTGCCAATTTTTGGTTATACGCCTGATGTCTTCAGCCCAACGTGTAGGTGGTTTTCCTCTACTACGTTTGTCTGCTCTTGGCCTCCAATTTGTAAACATACGGCGCTAGTGAGTATCCAGTCGCTTTGCAATTTTTAAATACCTCTGATAAATATTTCCGTCCAGGGTAACGACTATTGAAAAGTTCATTCTTTAAAATCGCAGGAGGTAAACTTGAAAACGATCGATTAGACACATATACACGATTTTCTGTGCTAAGAGACTTTTTTAAAGGCCGCAGAGAACCGATAGCTTCCAAAAATCAAGCCTTCCAAAGAAGCTGAACCCTAACCCAAGAAATGTCAATTATCAGAAGACAATTACAAGACCTAACAATACCGGGACAAATGACGCAAGGAGACTTATTAAACCATACCGAAGTGGAACACGCACTTCGCTAAAAAAACATTCGGACGCAGTAGACTTTATAGAAAGGATAGATGATTTAAGCCTAGCCTACAGAAATGATAAACAAGATATTCTAAGAGTATTACTAGGAGATCATGCGTTGCTATGGTACCTAAACAACAGAGAAAATTGGAAATCGTGAGCAGACTTCAGCGAAGATTTTAAGAAAGGTTTCTATCCCAGACGATATTTGCTGTAACTAGAGGAGCAAATCAGAAATGGAAAGCAAAAGCAAAACGAGTCAGTGACTAGATATATCTCCGACATTCAAACATTCATTAGACGAGAAAGATCTTTTTTCAAAGATCAAGAACTGGAACGAATATATAGGAATATGCTACTGGAATATAAGCTTTATATTTTCCACCGAGATTTTGAAGACTTACAAGAGAATTACAAGACTTAAGGCAAATAAAATATTTTTTTCGTTGTTAAGTGTCTAAATCTCTGCTATAGCACTTACCTTATAAGCTGCAGATTCCGATTTGCTATTTAAGTTAGAAAATGAGGTTATGTTTGCGGTATGAACGGCTGGAAGTTTTGAAGATTTTTCGATATCGCCGCTAGTTGAGAGAAGGTGCTTTCGAACACTTGCTTTGATTTTTGGATCTAAAAAAATATAACAAAAGTCTATTAAGTAGGTAGTAGCATACCGGTAAATAAGCGATTTTAAAAATTATTTAATCAGTATTTCTTGGTTTGGTCTGTACAGAAAAACATAAACGCTTGGGATGGGTGGGGTAAGACTACACTTTGGTTGCATTGGTGATGTGTAGGCAACATAGTACAGGACATGATGCTTATAGAAAAGGCATTCAAGCATTAAATCTCCTAAAAACTTTTGAGAATAATGAAACGACCTTCAAAGTATCAAAATTTATACAGATATGATAACAAAACCGTGCGAATAAATACGAATTGTGGTTTGTAAGGAAAAGTAACACTGGAAATGAAGTTGTTACAATTGCTGACAGTGAAATGAAAGATAAAGTAGTAGAAGTTGTAAGAACAAGTTTTACAAAAATGACGGTGAAAGTAAAGGTTTGACCGAGTTGTAAAATTTGGTAATAGTATATTACTTTATGAGGCGGAGAAGCATGACTTTTCTTGACGCGCCGAACGAAGTGAGGCGCGTAATAGAGGGCAAGTCAAGAAAAGTTGCTTCTTTGCCGAATAAAGTATACTATTTTTTCTTCAAACGTAGCAATTTTCAACCATAAATAGTACAATTCATACGCTATTTTTACTCGTAATTAACTGTGAGAACTATCAAAGTCGTCTAGATGTTAGAAATTAAAATAATTAAGTCGTCAGTGTCAGTGGGATTCGCATCTCCCTGGTTACAGTTGTTTGCAATTATTAAAGACAGCTTATTGTTGTTCGCAAGTCGCCAACATCGGGAATGATTGCTGAAAGTTGTTCTCGACCATGAGTACCATCAACAATTACCAATGCGTATCAAGAGTCGGGAACATTTTTGCACGGTTTCAATTTTGAAAATGCCTCATTAACTAATTGTACTTTTAATATTACTATAAATAAAAATGATGTTTAATTGTAGTTAATGACATTTGTATTGTTGCTTTGTGACATGTTTCATATTGTTGCCATGACAACATTTTTCCCTCCGCCATAAAGAAATGGGAAAAAACTGCTGCCGGCGGAGACATCAAACTTTGACAGGATCAAGTTAGATAAGTAATGTCATCATTATTTGACGTTTGAAGAAAAAATATTTTGTTAAAAATCTATTATTTTGGTAAAAACCGGTGTTAATATGAATAAAATAATTGTCCATTACTTACCCCGTTTGATTTTCAATATGACTGGATCCGCTGATAAACGGAGGCATTTGAGAACTAAAAATAAAAAGGAATTTCATATTATTCCATTACAAAAAACTTAATATCGATGGTATTGTTAAATAATATAAATATTTTTTCTTCTTTGCATATAATAAAGATTCCATTAAAAAAAAATGCAATTAGGGTAGGCTGTAAAATGTCTTAAATATCAAATATCTTAATTGAAGGGGTTCGTGCAAAAAGGATATAACTGACATTTTTACATTTTTTGAGTTGTGCAGAAAATACTACTAGAATGTATGTTCTTTCACAGCAAAAACGATACCACTAAGCCAACTATGGACGTACAATTTTTGCGTCTATAATTTGCTCACTGGAGCACGCCACATGTACACATGGGACGAAACTGTGTCTGACAGGGGTTCACAGGAGATAGGGTCGTGACTTGTGCATTTTTTTAAATCCCTACCATTCACTGTTACTAAAGTAATAGCATACAGCGATTCGTGTGGGGGCCAAAATAAAAAAAAAATATTTGCAAGTTATTTATGTATTTAGTGAAAGCCACTCACATTTAAGAAATACATCACAAATTCCTTGAGCCAGATCACACTTATATGGAATGTGACAGGAATTTTGCCTTGGTCGAAAAAACCAAAAAACAAGAAATCGTCAGGTTTTTTCCTCAACCACTGGAGAAAAGTAATCGCGAGCTCTTACGAAAAATTTATAGTTGCACAGCATGCCAAAGGAAATGTTTTTTTCCTTAAGGACTGAATAAGCTTATTATAAAAAAAGATACAGAAGAAAGACCTCTTAAATTCAGAGATATCGCACATTTTAGATATGCAAAAGATTCACTCATTTTTGTTTAAATTTAAGCCCGTTTTGAATGATATCTATATATTCCTAAAATGTTTATATGGGTCTAACTTATCTGGACGGTCTTCGCTTTCTATGAATGAAACTTTTACTATACTCAGTGCCAATTAAAAAATCTGCAAACTCTTTAGGATTATATACCTCCAGTGTACCATACATTCTATACGAATATGAAACACAAGGGTGCGACGACAAAAGATAAAAATAAAAAAAAGGTTGACACATCAGAAGAAGCAATAGAGCCGGTAACGAGTGCAGTTGATCCAGTTACCGGAAAAAATGAAAACGAAGGCGATGTGATTAGTTCTGACTACGAATAATTTTTTGTTTTTGAAAATTTAGTTGTAGGTATATATACTTCATCTAATTTACACAACGATGCACGTCATTATCTACGTCAGAGATCGAAGTTGACAAAGTATAAAAAAATCCTGACTCCATTTTAAATCAAATAGATCACATAATTATTGCTAAAGTATTACCATCTCTTTACAACGACTATTTAAATTCTTACGTGACATTTTTGAAATAAAACACAATAATTTTGTTCTAAAAACAACAGACTATCGACGGTGGTAATGTAATGTAATGTAAATTATAGGTTTCTATCGATTATTTCCCACCTCTACGAGTTTCATCTCTTTTTATTTCACAAGGTAACTGTGTTTTCTATCTCTTACGTTAAAAAGCCGGGTGGTAAAGCACATCACTGTATATTATTTTATTAATAAAAACATATTATGGGTTTAGATTTTTAAACTTTCTTTATTAAACCAACGGGTTTTACAGATTTTTATAAATGCAAATTACTATTTGCAAAGATGATTGAAATTCGATTAAAGAAGTCCCAAACTAGAATTTTCAGAACAATTAATGTTATTAGTGCTTTGTTAATTATTATTTTTAGCTCTAATTAGTTATCTACAAAGTGCATATAAATAACGGTGTAATTCTGTTTGGATCTCTTTCTTGTTTCTGGTGTGGAAATCAAATCTTCTACATCTTTTCCAACTTGTGGTAGTTTCTTTTAGCAATACAACAATAAGTTTTGTATAGTGCATTAATAAATTCTTTATCTCGTCATTCTGTATATTCAATACATGAATTACTGACACCCGAGAATTTATATTGCATTGAAATATCCGCAAACGGACTTTACGTTATTCCTTTCTATTCTTAGTGTCTCCTGAGCTTCAATTTTCCTACAAATCGAGCTGATGTACTTGGCACTTTATGAAAAAAGCCCATCGTCTTCTCGGCTCCATTATCTTTGCAAGCGAGAGGCATTTTTTAAACGTCGAGCACTATAAAGTGGCAAATAGAGTTTGGATTAATGAAATTTGTCTCGCTGCTCTTGCTAGAACACAGAGACTCATCAAGCGTTTAGTAGTTATGCTAAAAAATTCACAAAGGATTTGTTTTGGAATCCTGTGGCTTTTAAAACAATTAAGAAGATTTGGTATAGTACGTTCCGGCATTTTTAACATTTTATAAGCTACCCTCAGATTTTCATACATTCTTGTAACCGGGCCCACAATCCGCTGGTTGCAAAATTTAAAATTAAACTTAAAAAGATTTCATTATATATATATATATATATATATATATATATATAAATAACAAGATATATATATATATATATATTATATATATATATATATATATATATATAAATAACAAGATATAACAAGAGCCAAAATAAAAAACACTTACATAGTGGTGTGTACAAACTTGAATGTGGCGACTGCCCAAAAACTTACATCGGTCAAACTGGTAGAAATTTTAATAAACGAATAGCAGAACATAAAAGTGCTTTCAATAATAGAAAAACATATACTACATACGCACTTCACCTTCGAGATCATAATCATTGTTTTAATGATGAATTTAAAATTGTTCACATTCAAAATAAAGGCCTTAAGATATATTTTAAGTTAAGTGGGGGTATTTAAGATTTAAAAGTGGTATTAAATATTTTAAAAAATCGTTAACTTACCTTCTTTCGTACTAAATCGTATCACATCTGTTTCGTTAACTTTTAAAATTACATCTCCAACCTCCACCTGAAAAGAACACAACCTTTCAATATCTATACAAAACTATACACTAATCAAGTACACTGATATGTTTTGAAGACAACATGAATATTTACATATAAACCAACAAATTGCGGTTACAATAAACCAATTTTAGTCTCGAATGTCAGTTCCGTGATATCGTTTTCAAGGTGTTTAGTACCGTATGTGATAAGGATTGCGTAAATCTGTATTCTCAAATAAACACATCTAAAATGTCTAAGGAATGCAAAGTTTTTGCTTATGTATACATCAATTTTGGTTAATTACTATTTAACTGGGAATAAGCCACAATTAAAGATAAAAATACGTTTATTGACGTTTCAATTTCCACTTCGGAAATCGTTCTCAAAATACAAACAGAAAATTAAAATTTTAATTTTAATTTAAATTACATAGCTCTTATATTTTTTGACGTTTCAATTTGGTCGCGTTCACAATATTATTACTTTTGTGTGAACGCGTTAGATCCTCCAATGCGAACACGCACACACACGAACGCGCACGCATATACATTTGATTGAATTTGAATTTTGTGCAGCGACAATAAAGCCCAAATTGAATTTTTGACGTTAGAAACACACCTACATTGTTTAGACAACAGTGAATGCTTGTAATTTAATATAAAATTGATTGAATAGCAATAAAGTTCAAATTGATCCTACATTTAGTTAGAAAATATTTGTATGGGAAAAAGAAAAGTTTTCCCGGAAATTATTCGAATTTTTCATGCTCTAAAAACCATCCTTAGACTTCAAGGAACATTTTAAAAAATATATTGTTAAGATTGTTCCATGCGTTGTTGCGTTATGCGCTTACCAACACATTTTGCGATTCATTTTTATATTATAGATGAATCTTTTCTTTTAAATTTTTAAGAAAACCCCATCTTTTTATTTAATATTTTTGTTATTTACCAACACAATAATATATCGATATATTTTTTATGATACATATCGTATATCGATATCTTGATACAATATCGATGTATAATTTTTTTTGCTATCCCTAGACATAACACGAAAAGTTAGATTTTATTATATATCAGCCAACATAACCATGTTTCGTTTTTCGTTTACAGAAGAGACCCGAATTTCCCAGAAGTCTAATATATTTGATTCATTGTGGTTTCACAACATAAAATCGATGGAAGGTTTCCTTAAGCCATGTTCTCGCACAATAAAGGCATGTCTAAAATACGACAAGTATGTAAAAAGTTTTCGCGAGGCGGTTTTCCTTTCCTTTCTTACATTTTTTAATGAGGGAAGCCTTAAAAAATTTAAATATGTCAGACCAATTCGGAAATGTAAAAATGTGTCCGTTACGCGGAATATACAAGAAGATAAGAATAAATAATGGAACTACGTGATAGTCTAGCTCTAGGTGATAGTCTTACTTCATTAGTAATATAAGGTAAAAATGTTATTTAGGTCAGTAAAAATTAGTGATGCTACGAATATTCCGATAATGTTCTGTATTCGGCCCATACGACTACTTTAGCTAACTTTATTCAGTACTTCGTCCTAGTAACTGTATGACCATATATTTTTACCAACAACCAGGTTGAAAATCTACTAAAAACTACCAAATGATAATATGAATGCGCCGTTGCAAAAAAATGGTTTATGATTATTATATCTGAAGTAAGAATACTAAGAAACCAGGACTCTTTACAGTTTCCTTTGGAATTTTTTTCAAAACAAAAGTTGAGTGATCTGATATTCCAAGTAATTCTCATCTGGGTTTTGGATGTTTTTCGCTTGTCCTTATTTCTTGCCGTAGTCGTCTTCATAGTATCAATCCGGTTCCGAGACTGTACATTGTTTTTTTGAGCAGTATTTGATTTTAGGATTGGTAGGTCGCTAACCAATAAATATAAATAATTAAATTTCATATTCAAATACTGCAAATTTGGTTATTACTCTGAGCTCATGTAAAGAAGAAAAGAAAATAATAATTCTGATTGAAATACAAAAAAAATGTACTGGATGATTGACCAAAACTCTACGCTGTTTCTATAGAATAAATTATTATTATATAAGCAAATACTGAAACAATTGTATTATTATAAAAACAGTATAAAATATTTAGAAAGAAAATGGAAAATCAACAGAAAATATTTCTATTCATATAAAAATTTAATAAAATTATAGGTACTTACTGCTTATTTATATAACATTTCCTATTTTAAATACAATAAACACACTGGTTTGTCAAAAGTCGGAATAAGCCCTAATAATGTTATTCAACTTTATTTATCCTCCTCCGAGGGTTTTACCTACCTGGCGAGAATCCAGAAGCTACCGACAAAGACACCCTGTGCTGACGGAGAGAAAATTGCGTTTATCAAAAATTTGAAATTTTTTAAAAGTTTATATCAAATAGCTGCTTTGTGTTACACTTTATGTTAAAAATAAAAACAGATTCGGAAAGTGGGTCAAATTCTGTAGTGCCCTATTTAAAAAAAAAATTTTTTTCGTTTATTTTAACCAAAAATATTTGAAAAAAAATATTGTTTAAACAATTTATTAATTTACAACCAAATAGTGCACTAGAACTTTTTTAGACCTTCCATATAAAAAAAGAATCATCTCAATATCTGCCATAGTTTTTGCGTTATTCGATATAAACTTTTACATTGGAATTTACCTATGCCCAGAATCGCGAGGATCGGCCTTAATAGCGGAAAAGATTAGTCCACATCAATGAACAATGCCGCACCAAAATCAAAACAGGCTGGAGATTTCAAATCCGAAAACGTTTAGAGATGCATTAAAGGAAATTTGCGCAAATTTTGAATGAAAATCTAAACTTTATATTGAAACTTAAAGCTACAAAATTCATCCAATTTTTCGAAACTTACAGCCCTTTGGAACAAAGGTATTATCGAAAGATCGACATAGGAAAGTGGAGGGGATAACTGTTTCAGCTCCGTGTTTTTTTTTCGAGATCGGAACTTCAAATTGAAACACGTAGGAAAAATTTACATTATCTCGGCTTCCATTGCAGCTAGAAGCCTCTTTCTTTTAATCTGTGGTAGCTCGTCGAAATATGAATAACTACATAGTTTCCATAGTTCACTGTAAAAACTTACTTTTTTAATTTGGCTGGAACATCGCAGCGCAAATATTGACTCAGATCATTTCATGGTAGGGGCCAAGTTACGACAAAAAACTTCCAATGACAAGAAAGAAAGGGGCACTAGACAAGTTAAATATAATTTACATATGCTAAAAAATGAAAACAAAGAGAAACAGTTCCAGTCATATATAAAAGAAATCCTAGAACACACCTGGGCAGTCGACCAGTCAAGCACGGAAATGTGGAACAACTGCAAGGAGGCTCTGAAATTAGCAGCCAAAAGCACGTTGAATATCCCGAACCCAAGAAAGAAACGACTGGGTCGACCAAGACTGCAAAAAAATAACAGATGAGAAGAACGAAGCATTTAGGACCATGCCAGAACGAAAAACTAGAACAACAATAGATATATACCAAAACTTAAGGAGAGAGGAAAAACGCATACACCGAAAAAAGAAACGAGACTCGGAAAATGACATATTAGAACGGCTCGAAAGCCATATTATGAGTCACGAAGAAACAAGAAAGTTCTATCATCAAATAAATATTATAAGAAAAGAATTCAAACCAAGAATAAACTATTGTAATGATAAGGAAGGTAACTTACTTACTAACAAAGAGGATATCCTTTTACGATGGGTAGAGCACTTTCGAGAGTTGCTGGAAGGGGAACCTACTAACAATATAGAGCTGGAATAGCGAAATGAGGAACTCGTGGAACCCCCCTCGGTAGATGAAATGAAAATATCTATAGAAAAACTAAGGAACCACAAGTCCTCATGTAGCGATGGCATCCCAGCAGGGTTATTTAAGCACAGTGGAAAACAGCTCACCAAGGTGATGCGAGAAATTGCGTAGAATTTGGTCTGAGAAGCAAATGCCTGAAGAATGGAGCTTAGCCTTAATTTGCCCGTTACACAAAAAGAGAAACCAACTGGAATGCAATAATTACCGCAGAATAACTCTCCTAAATACAGCATACAAGATATTGTCAAATATTTTGCACGAGAGATTAAAGCCTTATACCAAAATGTTTCTAGGAGAATATCAGGCAGGATTCAGGCGTGGACGTTCAACCATTAACCAGATCTTTACACTACGACAGATCCTCGAAAAAGCGCAAGAGTTTAACATAGATATGTATCATATTTTTGTCGATTTTAAAGCGGCATATGACAGTGTCTTAAGACCAAGTCTTTACAACGCTATGAATGAGTTAGGAATTCCAAACAAACTCATATGTTTGATAAAAGTGACAACGGCGAAGATGCTATCAGCAGTAAAAATTCAAAACGACTCGTCAACCCCATTTGAAATACATAGGGGGTTAAGGCAGGGAGATGCGCTGGCATGTCAGCTTTTTAATGCCGTCTTAGAAAAAGTTGTACGAGACGCTAATTTAGATAGCAGGGGAACAATATTTAATAGATCAGTCCAAATTCTAGCATATACAGACGACGTGGACATTATAACAAGAACTAGGGCGAGAACTGCGGAAATCCTAACCGAGCTAGTAGCAGCAGCAGAACGAATGGGGTTACATATAAATCAAAATAAAGCCAAATTCATGGCGACTAACACAAATATAAGAGCTGGAAATGTTGAAGCAAATTTAATAATTAATGACCAAAACTTCGAAGCAGTCAAAGAGTTCATATATCTAGGGACATCGGTTAAGCCCAATAATAACACATCTCGGGAAATAACAAGGCGAATAATAATTGCAAACAAGTGTTATCATGGTCTATCAAAGTACTTAGCTAACAAACTTCTGTCTCAAAAAACTTATATAAGGCTGTATAGAACACTGATAGTCCCCGTTCTCACATATGGATCAGAGGCATGGACGCTATATGGATTTTTGAAAGAAAGGTGCTACGCAAGATATTCGGAGCGGTTTGTGAAAA